GAGACTATTGATTACTGCCTCCGTGGCCGAACGGTTACCATGCCGGACTGCCACGCAGAGGTCCCAGGTTCGATTCCCGGGCGGAGAGAAATAGTTGTATGGCCTACAATTATTTCTCTCGTGAGTTTGGGTGTAATTTGTGGTTGTCTATGTGTGTGTCCATGGCACCCGCGACACAGGGTTTCCCTAGTGCGGGGCTATGTTGAGTGTGTGCGTTATTTATTTATTTATTTATTTATTTATTTATTCCAGGAGTAATCGCCGACCATTTGTATTATTACCATTTACCTTTATCTAATCTAAATAACCTCGTCTAGATCTTTCTCTTCCTCTGATCTTCCCTTCTATAATGCTTCTAAGAAAACTGTTGTGTCTTATTAGACGATCAAACACCTTTATCTATTGTCTTTAATAAGCTTCTCTATTTCTGCACTGTTCGTTACGATTGATTGGTTAAAAATGCTACGAAAAATACTTTCTATTGATCTTTTTTTATTTGATCAGTCAACAATTGTTACACCAACTAAATAATCAGAAACATAATATGTACATGCAAAATCTTAAAACAGAGTTGCACCATTTATAACAGACCAACACTACACGCACATTAAATCATTGCAGAGTAAAATAAGTTACATAAAGAAAAGTGTAAATATTAACTAGCAAAAGTAAATACAAATATTTATTTAAAACTAAACAAAAATATAAAAAAGAAGTGACGTAGGCTCGGGTTCCACCCTGTTCCAAAGATTCGCACAAAGCGTTACGTTTTTATATTTATATGGCAAACGGCTATGAAGTTATTATATAGAGTGAATTCCCTGCCTGCAGACTTGTTCCCTGAACATTATAACTTGGACCTTTTCAAGGCGAGAGTGAATAGGCATTATTTAGGTGTGCCTGGTCCATCGTCGACCTCATCGTTACTTTCCATCAGGTGAGATGGAGGTCAAATATGCATTACATTTGTATATAAAAAAAGTTAGTTGACAGAGTTTTAGGAAGGTAAAGAAGTAGAAGCAGTTGCTATCAATCGTTGCTATGATCGTTGTACAATTGGCAAAGCCTAGCAAAAAATAAAATTCTCCCATTCTCATCTAAAACAGCATTTTGAAATGCATAGTTTGTTTATTTAAAAGAATACAAGCAAAGAAGTGGAAGTTACAATAATTATGATTCTGTTAGGCCTTTGAGGTCAAGGGGGGTCGCAGAGGCCGTTGCCTGGTTTAATCATGGAATCACCTCACACGTTAAGTTTGTAATGTGTAGGGAAGTCACTAATTGCTAAGTTACGCGTACCACTTGTAGTGCGTATTGTTTATTCAAGATTTTTTATGTAGCTCGTTAATCAATATTTTATTTTTATAGTTTTACCCCGAAAAATTTTTTTCAATATTTTCTTTTTTTAATCGATCCAGAAAAATAATAGCAGCAGAGCTTCTTGTGAAAGAGTTCGTCCAGAGAAGTGTTTTTCTGTACTGTTTTTCTCGCCAAGCAGTAATGTGAGTGAAATTACTGTGAAATTACAGGCCCACGGGACTCGTCAACTTATGTCTCAAATCTTTGCGATGAGTGGCACTACAACTGTTACGGACAACCGTGTCGCTTAAGTGTCGATACTATCTCAGCTCGAATGAATTTTTTTCCCGTACTAATACGACTCATTTCCCTTGGGTCCACCGCAGAGACACTGACTTTATTTCAGCATTTATTTTTTTACAAAAGAGATTAAGCCATTTGAAAAATGTGTATCGTATACTATACGTGTTCTATTTAGTTCTGGTTATAAAAAAAAAATCATAGGTATATACAAAGTACCTATTGAATGTAGCGGTTTTCTTGTAAAATTTCGAGGTTAAGCTTAAAACTTTTTAGGAATCGTGTTTTCACACCGTATAGAAATCAGTATAGGTATATCCTGAATTGTATTATATATTTCTCCATACGTCCATGATTTCTCCAAAGCGATTGATTTCACTGTTAAGCGGAATCAACCAAAGCGATTTGAGGTTTTATAGACTCTGAACACTAGCCGTATGACTTGTTCGTCCCGTCACCTGATATCATAAAAAAAAAATTAAATTGTATATAAGTATATCTCCCATTTCAGTATAAAAAGTTATCGACTAATTTCGATGGTAGAATCTTTAGACCACAACCTAATAAATTCTGGCAATTATATTTGTTTACGTAACATAATACACAGAACGAGAGAAAAGAGCACAAATAATTTTAAAAAACCACAACCACAACCGTTATGAGCAATCGAGACTAACAAAAAGACCGCATTCAATAAATGACAAACGCTTATTTGACGTGTGGTCAACGTTCGCTACATTCATGCACTTGATATAAACTCGTTCCTCGTCCAACTAACCGCGCCGTATCTAATATTTTTGTCATTATTGAGTAAAGCTTTCAAAAGCGAACAATCCGCACTACAAAAGTAATTGAAATAAACAAGATGTTGTTCCAGCTAATGTAACTTGTTTCAATCTGAGCTTATAAAGCACAGAGATTGTTGCAACAAACATAATAATTGCAACAACAATTTTAAGTAATGAATTGCATTATGTTGTGATTGATTCAATAAAGAATTCGCCAAACTAGCTCGCAATGTGACGGGATAAACAAGTCGTGCGCTTGATGGTAAGCGACTCACCTGCCCTTAACAGTTGCAGTGCCTCTGCGGCCGTCACCCTGAGACATAAGTTGACAAGTCCAATGTGCTTGTAATTTCCCCACCACCTTTTTTACCCTTCAAAACCGAAACGCAGAAATGTGAGCATTACAGCTTAGCGGTAGAAATAGGTAAGGTGGCATCCCTGGACGAACTTCCTCTACTACGGCCAAAGTCCATTTAATTGAAATTGGTTTCTTTTTCGTAGGGTAATCATTGTGTAGTATTAAACTCGTTTATTGATAACAGTTGATAAAAGCTCAGATGGTTTAGAACGGTGGCCTCGGCATGGCATTAAACACTGGTTTTGACACTGGTCACATCGAACGACATTTTCTATGTAGTTCCACCTTTGTATCAATAATAGTAATAGACATGTGACTAACTTTTTTATATACGAATACTATTTATAATATTGTCAGAATGAGATTGACATAAGCTATAAGTTAGTACTAATTACGGCAGGTGTCAGAGTGAGGACAAACTGTGATGCATTCAATTGGTTGTCAAGTCGCGATACTGCACTTTTAAAACGTTGATATATTTTTTATACTATTTGTTTTAATTGCTTTATATTTGTTTTTAGTATTATTTTTTATCCTACTTTTTTTATTAAATTTTGTCCCTACAGTAAAGTATCTTCCGTGTGACGGCCTCTGTTGTCAAGTGGCTTGCACACCGGTTTGCTCTCTAAGGTCACGGGTTCGATCCCCAGCCGGATCAGTGTAGAAAATGAACTTTTCTATGTTATCTCGGGTGTGAGTGTTTGTGGTACCGTCGTTGTTACCGAACTCCATAACACAAGCGCTTTAGTTACTTTTAGTTACTTTGGTATTTATTTCGTTACTTTGTTTTATTGGGAATAATCTGACTTTCAAGATACAGATACTTATTATGTTAGTTTAGAAGTTAGAGCCACATGATAATGTAAAACCTCTTTTATTTGATAAATAAAGAGTATTATTTTCTTTCTTTATTTATTATTATATTATTTATTATAGGTACTATATTATTTTATTACTTTATTGTAAGATTACGTTACAAATATTCACCAAAAAAAATTAGTTAACATTTCATAGATGCAATTTGTCAAGAAGACGAATGCATAATAAGAACTGTAAATAAAAAAAATTAAAAAATATGTTAATTATTTGTAATTACAACTTTCAATTGGAAGTAAGTGCGAGTTAAAAGTTCCCAAGTCATTGTTTTTATCATAAGGCTATCGGTAATTATTTAGCGACATGAAACATGTCATTATACGTCCATACAAATTACAATGCCGGTTTGTTTAGTGAATACCTATGGTAACGTATGGGAAGTAACTGTTAAAATTCCTTGATTTTTATTAGATATATTATATATTTTTACTATTTTTAGTTACGTAATTGTGGCAGAAAATTGTTAAAAATAGATACAATTAAAAAAGTATTTACAGTTTTAATTAATAACAAAACTAAATTTGGTTGCACGACAAATTAATCACTGTATAAGACGAAAGAGGCGTAACTCACAAAACAACAATTCTGAGATTTGCATAAAAGCGCCCCTTATCTCCCGCGGCAGGCACTTTATGAAAACTTGCGCCTATTGCCATCTGATTACGAAGTTAATTGAGATTTTTGAGGTTAGGGGCGATGACTAATTACTTGTTATTCTACTGAGTTGTCTTAATTTTATAAGCGAGGGCAGTGCTAAAAGATTTCTAAAAGTGGCAGTAGGTTTATATTTGATTTCTTTGCGAAAGTTTCAATATTTATTTATAAATTCTTATTGGAATGGCCTTGTTTTTTTTTTAATTATTGATTTAATTTGTACATCTAGTTGTAACTAAATTTGAAATTTTCCGAGGCACTTAAGGTTTTTCACTAAATCTGAAAAAAAAATTAGTAAGGTATTGTAAACAGAAGCGGCCTTAAGTGCGTTTCACAAACATAAAATGCGTATATACGGAGATATAAAACTTTATTAGTGTATCTTAAAGCACGCGCTCATAATTATTCGTAATTGCGCATCTATTCCATCGTGTTCCGACTCCGTACTATCTCTACCAAACAGGTTACCGCCGCGAACGAACTCTGAACTCCAAGTATTTAGTACGTTTTGTCAAAATTAGCATTTACACGCCCGTTATAAAGCACACAATAGGGAAGTAAAGCACACAATAATCTGCGCATCGCATTATCCTAACATACGCCTACACAAAATGCAGTTTCCGTCGCGACACACAAAGTTCCAAATCGGCACAACACTGTAACCGCACGGCGTGTAATCATTATTAACCTTTGACACGACACTTTCACTTTCACGAATTACGTACCCTCACAAGTGAACTGGCCGTAGTGTTTCCCGGAGGACTTGTCACCGCAGACCACGCACTCGACGTTCTGGCCCTTGTCGGTGGCGGAGGAGCCGCTCTGCGTCGACGCGGCCTGGCTGGCGGGAGTGGACGGCAGGAGCTCGTCCTCGCGCCAGCTACCGCGGAAGCCGAGCTCCAGGGGCGGAAGGTCAGGGCCTCTCGGAGGGCAAAGCCCCGGGCCGCTGACCCCGCCGTAAACTAGCGCTCCGTGCGTGATGATGCCGGTTGCCGTCGCGGGGCGAGAAGACGCGCGACGCGCTTGTGTGTCAAGGGTCGCGGCTAGCTCGCGACTGAGCTCGGGTCGGGCCAGGGCGCGCCGCTCCGCCATTGGCCCGGTGGCCCGCAGGGGCAGGGAGCGAAGGCCCCGCCACCTCGACCGCTGCCCCCTCCCCGCGGGGGGTGAAAATCTTTCAGCGGCCAAGTACCGTCGGGAAGGAAAACCGACGCGAGTTTTTCTTTTCCTACATTTTTTTTAACGTACTTGTTATTATAGTATTGGTTAGATTATTATAGATATGATAAAATAGCGTTCTCCTATTGTTTGTAAATACTAAAGTAGCCATTTTGAAAAAAAGAGAATTATTTATTAATTTTAATTCTGTCTTGTGTCGAACAATGTTTTATTTAAAGAAATTAAAAAGCCTTAATGTTGACTTAAATGTTGTTAACTATTTAAGTTTTATGTGCTTTGGATGTTTTTTCAGACGGTACCTGAAAATTCTACTTTGTATCAACTTTCCCGCAGCCTCCATATTTCTGCTCGGCTGATAACACCTACCCACAACTATACCTAAGTGTTAAGGTATTTGCGCGGAGCTTCACAATAAATACGAACTTATTATATTCATATAGATACTATATAACGATTTATGTGAAGGATAGAAGTAGATTTACGGCTTACGACGTAAGGCGTTCTTTTAGGCTTTTTTATACTATATGAGTCTGATGCAGTATTTTATGTAGATATTAAATAATTTTTCAAATCGGAACACAAAAATATCGACAATAATGTGCAAAGTTTGCATTAAAAAATCATTCATTTTTCACCATCAATAATTACGTATGTGCTTTTGAAAAGCATTTATATTTTAACATTTTGTAGAAATCAACAAATCACAACATCACCTTTACTGCTAACAAAATCTATAAAAGGAACAGAGCGTACGAAAATCAATAAAACTGCAGCAATATAACAACAAGTGTAACAATAAATTCTGAAACGGGCAATCTAGATCGATCTAGATGCGGTAGGCGGCGCGTGCGCAGGGGCGTGGCCCTCGGGAGGGGGGGCGTCACTTGTCAGCGTGACGCGGCGGCGCACTGACGTGTTACGAGCGTCATAAAGCCAATTTGTCAGTTACGCGCTTTTGACACAATGCCCTTAATATATCTATTATGAATTTATGATGATTACGATTTAACATGTATTGGGTAAAAATACCGAAAATAAAAGTTTTTTCTATAAAAGAAATATATATTACATGTAAATGTATTTGTAATCATACGTATTGTAATTTAAAATATAAGGGTAGGATTATTAATCAGTTACTCGTAGCACTTAATATTGTGTACAAACCAAATAAATAATTATAGACAATTATTACAAAGCACCTAGTGACCAATATTTATATTTGTAAGAAAAACAGACCCTTCCGGAAGGTTCTAGTCCTTAAGCAATATTCCTCGTCTTAAATAAGTCCCGTCTGTTGCCCGGGATAGTGGGAGGCTTTTATCCCGCACAGGGTTGGCTCATGGATGGTTGAGTAAATACTTAAGTTAGACTGAAGTTGGACTTGAGTCCAACTTGATTGCTTTTCTTATCGGAACTGTAATTAAGATAGAAAATGCCTTCGGTTTGAGATATGAGAGTCCATTGTTTAGTGACATAACTTACTAATTTAAAGCCTTTACTCCCAATAATATTTATTTAGAACTTATGTATGTAGAATTTGGATTGAAAAATGTTGTACTATCAGCCAAGTAGACGCGTTACCACGTTAAGAGTTGTTTTTGCGAGTAGGCAACGGCCGTTAATAACGGCCACGTGCAGTTCGCTTATTCCTGTCAACCAAGGGCATTTAATGGCTAGAATATATTGTTATCCTCCGGAGACTCAGCAAATTGCAATGGGAAAAACGCTACATGCTTCAGGCCCAAGCAAGTATGACCTCCGGTTTGCACGAAATATTATCATAAAAATTATAATAGCGCCAAATTTGAATGCGATATTTTCATTGTAGTGTAAACTGGGCTTTTACGTGATCATTGGAATATTATGGTGTGGACCCGGATCACGGCCTTAGGAGGTCATAATAAACAAAGGGTTTTCACTTAAAAGGGTCAACAAGAGACGGGACTAGCTTCAACTTTGCTTGCAGTGCACAGCTCAATTAAAAATTTCACTCTAGAATGTTCACTACGTTCGATTCCTCAGTTCCGAATCTGAAAAATGACGGTCCGAAATGTCGCAGAGATAATTTTATCTCTAGCTGTACAAGCGACATCCGAAGAATGTGCGAGTTTTCTAGATTTGTGTAGTCTCGGATTCGGAACGGATACAAATGGGATGCAGTGAGCAAACGTGCTTTCTCTGTTGTGAATTGAAATTGTAGAATTCGTTAATTAATTAAGAAATAATTTTAGCAAATAAATTCACAAAAAAAAAATTACAATTCTTATTGGTGAATTACTTATCTATAATCTTTCGTACCGTCATCAATGGCGTTATTACGTTGGAAAGATGACTTTAAAGTAAAAGTTTCATATTGACATGTAAACGAAGCAGATAGGAATTTTTTTTTCCTCAATAGTACCCAGTGATAAATCGGAGTTTGGTAGCTTTTATAATGTACCTGTGTAGCGACAGTTTCAAACGTGGAATACAATGACCGCGACTCGGTTTAGGTAGGTTTCCTTATATTTTGAGGTGCTGATATTAGATTTTAACATGAAAATTTTGCATAGTGGTTCTTTTTTATTTCTGACTAAAAATATTCAACATCTTCCATATTTAATATTGTACCATGTACGAAGACTTTTCATCTTCATGACACCCTAAAACACGAGATAAGACTGTCAAAGTACAAAACAAAATAAGTTTTCTTCATCTTTTATCGGGTGTCATCAAGCCAGTCACGTAATTTTCAAATAAATAGACGTGGCTTAAGCAACTAAAATAAAAGTAAATACTCAGTCTGAGTAGCCCTTACCGCTCACCCCCGAGGTGAAAGGTGGGGTGCGCGGGGGGGCGAGGGCGGATCAAAGGTCGCGCCGCCTCACCGTCCCGCCCCGCCCAACGGGGGTGCTCCACTTATCTCACTGATGTCTTAGAGGAAGTGTCCAGACTCGAAGATAAGGAGCAATTCTAGCGTGGGTGTAGATTTTTCTTCCGACATAAAGTAATTGTTCAAGTGGCGCTAAATTCTGACAAAAGTGAAATTAAGCACTACTTCTCACACTTCAATTTCTTTTCAGTAAATTTGTGACTTCTAGACTTCATCACTTACAAGGCTTCATACGTTATAATCATATACAGAAAAACATTGAGTTTAATAAATTAAATCTATCATGACTCTTAATGGAATCAATGAATGGAATCAATCACAACATGATTAAATTTATTACTCAAAATGGTACTATGGTACTAATGGCACAGCAAAAAATTTAATACTCTAGAAGATAGCATAATTCTTTAAACTAATTAATAATAATACAGTCGTAGTTCTTTGCGTGCAATAAGTGAATAATTGAAATATTAATATTACTTTAATTTTTTTTTGTAAGGGAGCCTTAGATATTGCTTTTACTAATTTCTTCTTTTATGTTCGTCGTAATATTTCCGCCAGTTATGACTTCCACGATGTTTTTTATTTTTTTAAGTTCTATGATTACATTATTGAATAATTTGTTTATCTAAAAAGATGCAAAAGGCTAACATACATTAAAGGCTTGAATACTAGGATTTCGTCTTAATTAAGTGGATAACATTGGGTCCCCACGATTTGGTGCCCAAAATATTTGCAGCGTTTCCCCTTCGATTCCCTTCCATTTATACTCAAGGACATAAAGTATACAGAGGAAGTTTGAATTATAATAACAAAGTTCATGTGAATCACTAGCCACACAACATAACAGAAACAACCATTGTCCCGCAACTGTCTACCACAGCTCTTAGTAAATAAAAAGATATTTAAACAGATCTCTTCATAAGTCTGAAGTCATAGATACAGTTGCAGATAATTGTAGCGTTATTTTACAAATATACTCGACACTGGCGCTTAATCATTCTTGAATACGATAGTTATATAAACAAAACGTTTCGTGCATATTTTACATTTCACTTTATACCCTACCTACATTTACATACGTATTTTCTTTCCGCAGACGAAGTGAGTACGTCTTGCGAATCACATCGATCGTGACAACGGTGTCTGTATGACGCTCCCCCTCACACACCCCTCTTTGGGTCGCGAAGCTGAGTAATTAGCCCCAGGTACTTATTAGCAGATGTTTTTGCTTTTTTACAGATTCCTAATTAGTTTATAGAACTATAGGTTGTACAGAAGAACACAGTAGTTTTGTAGCCATAGAGCCTAGAGCTCCTTGTGAAAGAGTTCGTCCAGGGAAAATTAAATTATGCATTTTTTTAACTAAAAAACGCACACACTCATTAGGGAAACCCTGTATCGCGGGTACCATGGACACACGCATAGACAACCACAAATTACACCCAAACTCACGAGAGAAATAAATGTTTCCCCGGCTCGGGAATCGAACCTGGGACCTCTGCGTGACAGTCCGGCGTTGTAACCGTTCGGCCACGGAGACAGATTTCTTATGTTTTAGTTGTTTTATTATGTTTTCTTGTAACATGTTCTGAGTCTATCAAACAATGATTGCAGCAAAAATTTTGAGTAATGAATTTGAATTGCTTAAAGTTATATTTTTCAATATGCATAATATACACTTTCATTTTGGCCGGCCAATCATTTATAAGTAGTTACAATGGTAACGAATGACACCTATTATTTTTTTCCTAGCTTTCAACATTTATTGTCCTTACTTTTTATGGCAGAAAACAGAAATAACCACAAAACCCTCTCGTACCGCTAAATCAATCACATCCCATCACAATTTTACACAAAGATCAATGCGTTTGCGCAAACTAAAACAATTTAAACAAAAAATTCCAAGTTACAATTCCGTCAACCTTAAATCACTCGATTGCGTTCGATTTTCTTTATTTGTCTCTTTAAAGAGAATAATTTAGGATCGTCTGGCGATGTTCAATTGTTTCTCGTTTAGTTTGTTTTGTGATTTCTTGTACGA